TTAATATGGATACTGTTATTTTTAGAACTTGCGGCCGAACCAGCCGCTGAGACCGAAACAGCCAAGTTTGCGGCCGAACCAGCCGCTGAGGCCGAAACAGCCAAGCTGAGGTGCCGAAGCAGCGCCGCAGCCGGGCTGGCCACTACGCTGCGCTTGAGCAGACTATGGCGGCGGTTCACGAAGCTTTGAATCTGCAAGACTGAGACACCAGACTCACACTCAGACTGTGACGCTTAAAGGTATTGATGTTAAACCCTGCTTAGGCCGTCCTAAGGAGAGGTCAATCCGTCCTCTCCTTACGCCAGTCAAGGAGGACCGCGAGCGGCGGAAGGAGAGGGTTGGGAGCAGACAACTGCAATCTCGCCATTGGCGCTTAACGGTAATGCAGGTTTTGCCCTCTCCGCGCCCTCTTCTTCGGACAGTCAAGGACCACCGCGACCAGCGTAAGGAGAGGTCAATCCGTCCTCTTCTTAGGACAGTCACGGGCGTCCCCGAATCGTCGTCTAGGACAGTCAAGGACGTCCCCGAATCGGGCTCCGTCCTCTCCTTAGGACAGTCAAGGACGTCCCCGAATCGGCTCCGTCCTCTCCTTAGGACAGTCAAGGACGTCCCCGAATCGGGGTTCCGTCCTCTTAGGACAGTCCAGGACGTCCCCGAATCACGGTTCCAACCCCTTAGGACAGCCAAGGACGTCCCCGAACCGGGGCTCTATTCATTGGACAGTCGTTCCCGAGTCGGGCGCTGCAGTATATTTGTTTGACAGCACTTACTATTAAATACGACGACGGGTCCTGCTGCACTCAGTCTTTAAACTTGGGTTAAGATCTTTGGATCCTGAAACCCCTCTAAAATGATTTTCATGGAACCAGAACGACGAACTGTGTAGAATAACCCTAAACCCTAAACCCTAAACCCTAAACCCTGCTTAGAGGATTCCTGAAGTATTTTGCTGAACGACCTGCCCCCCCCCTTATCACTCCCAGCAAAGCGATTTCATTTTTTTTTACGACTCAATCGTCGTCCTGTGCTTGTGCTTCACAGTGGCCGCAGCAGCCACGAATGTCTTTAAAAAGCCTCAATGAGGGACAATGGCCGAAGCAGCCAAGTCTTGCACATAAGCCGAAGCAGCCTATTATTCAAAGTTTGGCCGCAGCAGCCAGCATCTTTCAGTCGTCAAAGTCTTGGCGCACGCGAGCTATCATTGCTCCCAACTCCTCGCTCTGGCCCAAAACCAAGGTCACAGCATCATCATCTGAGGCCATAGCAGCATCTGAAGCTCCGGAAGGCGATCGCTCTGGGCCTGGAGGCAACATTCTCATCAAGTCACCAACACGCATGATTACCGGCATGCAATGCACCAGAAAATGACAGTCCTGCAGGGCTCCTTCCAAGACTGCGAAAATTTCGCGCAGTTGCTCATAGTCTGGGTCGTGACGCGGACCCTGCATACGCAACCAGCGCAAAGTCGAGCAACTCATATCCAGTTTATATTGGAGCACTGGCCATTGGTCCTCCGCCCAAAAAAACCGCAGACGGCAGACGCGACTGCTTTTCAGCAGCACGTCACTGCCAGCCGGAAGCATCGGCTTGGCGGGCCAACCGTCCTCCACCTTCACAAACCTGTCCCTGGCAAAAGTTTCTGTTTTCACTCGTCCTTCCAGAAACATTCGCAAAGCCAAGCAGAACTCAACTGTGAACTTGGCTCTGTCGTCATCTTCCACAGAAACGCTGAGGAATTCGAAGAAGGTCAGGCACGTTTGCATCAGCCTGTCCAGGTTATCCACGATGTTGGCTTTTGCTAACTTCGTTGTCGTGATCCCCTCACAGACGGCGTCGTAAAACGTACTGACAAAGTTCATGTTGGCCCCGGAAGACAGCATCGCCGGAGCAGCGTTGGCCCCGGAAGACAGCATCGCCGGAGCAGCGATGGCCCCGGAAGACAGCATCGCCGGAGCAGCGATGGACGCCAAGCGACGCGAGGAAGACCAGCGCCAAAACTGCTCGAGCCATGAAACATGGCGGCCAGTTTGATTTTGCACTCTTCTTATGAACTCAGAAATCAGATAATATATATTTTAACATTTGTTTAGGTAGGTGTATATTAAAAGATAGATACTGATATAATATGATGTTTGTGTTAAGAATAGGCGATTCTACATCATTGTATTATAGTACCATTGTCGTTAGTACAAGAGTAGAACGAACATTGACTTTTTTGCTCGAACAAGCAAGGAGTTTTGCGTCCTCGGTCGTAGACTCGTGCCAAACACAGGCCGGAGCAGGCACAGGCCGGAGCAGCCGACGAGGCCGAAGCAGCCATTGATTGTGGCGACTCAGGAGGCCGAAGCAGCCTTGATTGTGGCGACTGAGGAGGCCGAAGCAGCCTTGATTGTGGCGACTGAGGAGGCCATTTAAAGCCGGAGTGTTCAGTCTCTGGTGCCTTTGACTGTGGCATCCGGACCGGATGGGCGAGAGGCCTTTGACGAGGTGATCAACCCTGCAGCTTTCAATGCGCTCAACAAGACGGCTTGCATCAGCGGAACTGGCACGCTGTTGCCAAGCATCCGTCCAAGCTGTTTCTGCGTGACCAGAAGCTGGTAGCCTTGCAGCTCAGACGGACGCAGGCCTGTGACACGGATGAGTTCCGTTATCGTCATCTTGCGGCCTCTGTTTGAAAGCCAGAAACCCCCAGTCCCTCCGCGGGACCGCGTCAAGGTCGGTATCTTGTCAACCTGGTGGCTCGCCCATGTCATGCTGCAATCAACATCTACAGCAACCGGCGTCTTGCGAGGGTCTACAGACTTACTTTCCCAGGCGGACTTGTACGCAAGTCTGCAGAGTTTTTTTCCTCGAGCGTGCTCCGGCATGCGACCCGCAGAGTCCGTGGCAGAGTTGGGCTCGTCCAAGTCGTGCTCCAGCTTGCGCTTCCCGGTCGGCACTGGCCAGTTGAAAGTCTCTCGCAAAGAGTCCTTGCGGATTGCGACAAGGAACAGTCGCGCGCGCGTCTGTGCCACCTGAAAGTTCTCGGCGTTCAAGATTTTGACGTGAACTTTATACCCGACGTCATTGAGTACGTCGCAGATCTTTTTGAGAACGTGGCGGTTTTTTTTGAAACTCAACCCTTTGACGTTCTCCATCACGACAAGTCGTGGTTTTTTGCGTTTCACGTACTCTAGGCTCTTGCTGAGCACAGAACCGCGAGGATCCTTCAGGCCGCGTTTCAAACCAGCGGGGCTCCAGGACTGACACGGTGGTGTCGTGACATAAAGATCGCAATCCATTTCTTCACTTGGAGCTCGGTCGCGGACGTCCTTGTAGATTGTTTTCGGCCTGTGTAGCTGTTGCAGCAGTTGCCGGCACTTGTCATCTGAGTCTGAACAGAAGACTTGCTCTGCGACAATCTCGGCTCGGCGCAACGCGAAAGCAGCCGAGTCGAGGCCCGAAAAGTCCGAGCCGAAGCGCAGTTTGCGAGGCACCCTCAAGGACTTCGACCCTGCAGACTTCGGCGCCATTGAAGCCGGAGCAGCTGCTTGGCAGCCGAAGCAGCTGCACAAGTTTGGCCGAACCAGCCAGGAAGAGCGGATTTTACCTTTTTTGTTTGAGCCAGTGGCCGCTGGAGCTGCAAAGAATCTGTGGTCGCCAGAGCTGCAAAATTATAACTAATACGTCTGCCCAAGATACACAAGCATCAAACACTCAACTTATTATTTTCAAGCCAAGGCAGAAAAGCGAGCATCCTCCGATTCACATGCCGGACCAGCATGTCAGGAAAGGCCGTGGCAACTTCGCAGGATGTCCACGGATCGGATCTTTTGCAAAAAAGTTTGTATGGTATACAAATTTTTCATCCCTTGCACGACCTGAGCGAGCTTCATTTAGGATCATAAAGCAGAAAATTTTATGAACAACTTATTATTATATAAAGCAGCTGTTTTAGGTATAGGTTCATAAATAAAAGACTACAAATTGTGAAGTTAAATGCAGACAAGTTACTGGCAAAGTGTGCTCCGCGGGAAGAACCACGGAAAAGGCAACGCCGGCATTGTAGGTAGCCGTGGCGATCTTCAACGAACCCACATCCGTTTTGTGCAGCCGCCATTTGTGTCCTTCGGGAAGGGCCTGTCGCAGGAATGTCCAAAACTGGTTGTTGGCGCTGGCGCAGGCACTGGACACGAAGACAGCCCTCTTGGTGTAAGCAGCAGGCCGAAGCTTGATGGCAGCTCCCTGGCCAGGCTCCGTGAAGAATGTAGGGCTCACCTCGTAGAAGCCACGAAGCGCCGACACCAGTGCATGAGAGCTGTTTTCCATTCTACCAGGCCGATCAGTCACTATGACCCCCGCCATGGACAGTCTTTGGACTTGAACGAGTCCGTTTGACTGCATGGCTGCTTGCAGCGCCATAGTATTGGCCGAAGCAGCCATAAAGCATTTCTGTCCCTGAAAGTCCCGCAGCATCTGGGCCGGAGCGAGCCCTTTTTCTAGCCGCGTCCAGTTCCTCTGTTTTCGGGCTCGTTGCTCATCATTGTCCAGCATGTCTTGGCGACACTTCTGGGCAGCAGCAGCCAGGGCCTCCTGGGTCTCTTCACCGGTCATTTCGGCTTGCAGCAAGGAGTTCTCAGCAAAGCCTTGGATCTTACGAGCCTTCCGTTTGCGGAGCTGGAAATCCAACTCCTTTTGATGGCTCTCAGTCCAAGTGTGGGAGCCATCGGCCTGCTGATAGGCGCTGCTGCCCTCATCCAGGCTACGGCCGGCCAAAATTGTTTCATGTCTACGCTTGCGAAGGAATGCGGATTCACTCAGGATTTCAGAGCCTTCTGCTTTTTTTTTTCGTAGGCCCTTGTCTACCCGTTCCCTGCGGTGGCAGGTGCGTGGTTGACCAAAACAAGCGGCCCAAGATGCTCGCGCGATGCGAATCACACGCTCCCGGTTTCGGTTTCCCAAGTCCAAAGCCAGCTTGACCAAGTACTCCTCTGTCCCTGCCAGAGCTTTTCGTCTTCGGGAGTGCACAGACCACGCAGCTGTGCTGAAGGACTGCTCCACACCAGACGTGCTGCAGCCGAAGGCGAAGTACTGCACCAAGGCTTGTCGCAATGTCTCAGTCGGATGCACTTTTCGGGTTCCGCGGTGCTCCGCCAGCCGTGCAAGCGCCTCCTGCCACGCTGCTTTATTATTATTGTCATGCGCACCTCCGCCGCTGGTGTCTGAGGAGTTGCCGCCGGCCGATCGCAGCCGCTGGGCGCGCGGAAAGACATCCTGCAACTCAACCTGCAAAGCCCCGCGATTCAAGCCCAAAGCTTGAGCAACTCGCTCGACATTGGCGCTGTCTTGTCGCGCAGAGCCCGCGAGGTCGAACATTTGGAAGGCCTCTGGGGACGATGTTTTGACGTGACAACCAAACAGTTTAAAACTCATTAAACAAATTTCTTTAGAGAATACAGGGTTTCAACTTAAAACTTTGACCGTCAATTCGCATCTTAACAATAATAAGCGAAAACGCTGCATTTAAATTAATGTTTTGCAAGCCCAGCCTGTGCCAGCTCGAACTCTGGAAACTCAGCCTGCAAAGCCGCTTCCGCCAGCCGAACCCATGACTGCATGCGTTGCAAGCAAATGGTCTTAACATCTGCAGCTACACCAGCAGCGTCTCCCAGGCACCGGGTTTCTGCTCCCACTTGGAAGACCATGGGCTGCGCCAGGGTCTTCATCATGGTGGAGGTAAAACCAAACCGGTCGAAAATCTGTCCCTCGCAGAACAGTGCCTTCATGGATGCGAGGTACATGTGGCACTCCGTGCTGAGGATCGCTGGATCCAAGTCTTCACGATCCATTAAACGGGTGAAATGCAACGAAGAATCAGCAGCGTCTGCAAGCATCGCTGCTTGCAGCATTTTTTCATCTGACACCCAACTCAGAAAGCGTTTGGCTCGACTGCTTGATTCATCAGTTCGCGTCCTCCATACCCGCAGAGCTGTGAGGATGGTTGCATGTATATAGATGCAACTGCGACCAAGCGGTTTGGCATGGGACTCGAACCTGTGACCTGCTGCGCTCATGTTCGTCGCTGCCGTAATAGCATTGGAGCTGGAGGTTTTTGCGAAATTTGCAAATATTCGTCGGATTTCATCGCTGTGGTGGATCATTTTTGCAATAGAGCCTTTCCCAGTGCACAGATGTAAGAGTACGTCGCGCAGCGCCGAATCAGCGCTCCATGGCCTTTGTGTTATTCGCCGTGATGAATGAGCTTTGTCACGGACGATGAAGCGGAGATTCGGGGTTAATTTCTGGATGGTTGCATTCAAGGCCTTCGCCCTCATCAGCTCCGCCGAGACGACTTCGTCCTGAGCAGCATCCACTGACAAAGACGTGACTGCGGAGCGCAGGTGGCTTAGGAGATGCCGCTTCAGCACCGCAGGCTGCTTGCTGTGCTCTGGTGGCTGGATAAAGCGCGTGCAAAAGCGCTGCATGATGCGGTATGTCGCCACAGTCAAGTTTCGGCTGCCGGTGCCGCCATCACGCTCCTGGCCGAGACAGCCAGCGACAGTTTGCAGGTCTTTGCCAACTGCCCGAAAGCGTATCAAGATTCGGCCCTTCCTCTCATCTCGGTAGAGAGAAATGGCTTCTGAAGCTGCCACAGCCTCCTGGTCGATGGCTTTCACAGCTTCTGCCAAGCACCAGGTCATTTTGCGCCACTTCCTTTTCTGGCCACCGGCTTTGCCAGCCAAGATATTTTCGATATGTTCCTGAAATTCAGCTTCACTTGGAGCAACAAAGCCTGGCAAAGCACCTTTGTCTGTTGCTTTTTCTAAGAAAAAGCGACACGAGGATTTGTGAGTCGAGCTTTCATGGTGCTTCTGGATGTTGATGCTTTGCAAGCTGGAAACTTTCTGCACATCATACTTCCCCCAGGAGTTCTGCACGCCACATGCAAAGCACGCTTTGCACCCTACGCTGAATGGGCTCGTCCTCGTGTCCAGCCAGGAACCCTTCGACCCATCCGAAGGGTCCAGCAAGTATTTTGCTTGCCAGGCGTGGCCCAACCTCTGCCATTTTAAACATGCCTTCAGAAGAGGCATTGGCAGGAGAGCTTGGCCGGAGCAGCCACGTGGCCGAAACAGCCAAATTTCTTGTCAGCCTTGCCCTCTGACAGGCCGCCTTGTGCTTGAGTGAGGTTTTGAAATAATAAGTTTCAGGCTTCCCCAAATATTTTCTACAAGTCTACCCGAGGAAAGAGGTAGCTCCGACCGGGTGCAGCAGCTGATTTAAAGTGCAACAGGACTGCGTCACCATGAAGAAACAAATGTCAATTCTTAAAACCCATAGGCTTTCTGGGTCAGTTTATTTATATATATATATATTTCTTTATGAATACCTACTGCCTATTTCGCATCACTTTCAGCAAGCTATTGAATTAGAAGCCCCCAGCATTTAAACCGCTCGCAAGCATGATTGCAGGCAGAGTGGTGCAGCTGTGTGATTTCTATTAAAGCAATAAATAACGATGATGGCACTGCAAACAACATCAGATTCACCATGCCAACAAACACAAGGAAAGTAATGACATGCTTCACGCAACTAAATGTTTGGTTTGGAGGAACTTGAGGATGACATCCTTCATAAAATTTAGTGTCAGCACAAACTGAGTCAAGTCAAGTCCAATGCGCCCGAGGTTTCAAAATATCTTCGTCCACTGTCAAGAGATATTTTTAGAAGGATTTTTGGTGAGCCCAAAAAGACAGCAAAAAAAAATACCAAAATACGGCTAAGCACTAGTAAGATTAATAAAGGTTGCCAATGCGTGCCCGTGCCCCCCCGCGCCCACACCACCCCCACCGCCCCCACCGCCCCCACCGGCCCCACCGCCCCCACCGCTCTCACCGCCCCGAGCTGCCCCCACCGCCCCCACCGCTTTCACCGCCCCGACCTGCTAGTAAAAGTGGCTTGTGGCTTGCTTTCAGTGGTGCCAGCAGTGTTGGCTTCTGGTGCGTGTCCATGTATTTGCTGTACTATACTAAAGAGCATTTAAAGGCTGCCGATGCGTGCCCGCGCCCCCCCCCCCCC